TACGGCCACTTTTCAAGAAAGGAACGATGATTCATTCAGAATTTTGGCCCTAGCTCCTTTGTTAGGGCAAAACACAAAAGATCCTGCCAGCTATTGGAATGAAAAGAAGATTCCTGCCAAGACAGGGACATGCCTGAGGCCAAGGGCACCATGTGGCAAGAGGTTCTCACTCAGAAGAGAAGGTATTCATCCGATTCTGACAAAGACTCTCTCTTTGACCAAACCTGAATTGGTTCCGCCGAGTCCTCTTTCTGACCAGGCTCCAACCTTGAGCTCTCTCCTTGGACTGCTCAGGCTGGTTTTAACAGGAATCCTGCTGAGTCATTGAACAAAAATCCACCCCCCACCCCCACGCTTGGTATCTGGTCACCCTGGCCTGCCTCCAGAAAGTTCCTCCTGAATTGGTCTAGCAAGCATCCCCCCGCCCGAATGCCTCCTCTTGTCATCTTCCATCCACTGACCACCGCCTGCCCTTGTGCTTGTAGTCAGAGTTGAGCCTGATCTCTCTCCCCCACTGCAGAACACCACTGCAGCTCCTTGGTAATAAAATCTTCCTTACCAGCCTTATCAGGTGTCACGAATAATTTTTCTTTAATGATTTCCCAAGATGGCAACCTCCGGCTGCCGCCAGCCCAGGTCTACAAAGCTTCTCCCTGAGGCATCCCTGCCGGGACCTGTTTCATAATTGAGGATGAAGGATCCCTTCAAACATCCTGATAATTCAGGCCCAGGACCTCTGGTCTTCCAAGCTGACCCAAAGAGAGTCCAGCACCTCCTTCCCCCCTGGGGCCAGGAAAGCCGCTCAGCAGCAGCCAAGAGAAACGTCACCTTGCATTTAATATTCTTATACCTTTTTGGCTTGATCCCCTCTCCCCTCTCAGTGGTCTTTGTCCCCCACCCCCCGCCTGCTGCCCGTACTCTGTAACTCAGTCAGCACCTGCTGAACGGTGCGAGGAGGAAGGCTCCTGTAGACAGAGAGAAATGGAAGAAACATGGTGCGCTTTAGCCCCAGACTTGGCTTCCACGGCAGCCGCTCCAGGGAGAAAAACCACGTAAACAAAGATGCGCTGGTCCAGGCCCCTCCCGCACCACTCTGCTTATTTCTCTTCTGCGCCCTTCTGCTGGGCCGAGACGGGGTAGGGGAGTGTGCCTGCCCCTCTGTTCTGTTTCCCCAGCTGCTGGGTACAGACCAGCCACCTGTCTCCTCTGCCAGTTCCCCCTCACCCTGAAGGACCTGCCAAAGCACTCTCCACTCTCGGGCATCCTCAGAGACACATGGGGGCAGAGGGAAGGGCGTCTGCCTGTCTTCCCCTTCCCAGGCTGCTTCGGTGTCCCCAGGACCCAGCACACAGAGCAGACTGGGGGCTGAAACGACACTGGGAAGCTGGGGCTAGAACAGGAAACCCGACACACACCACACACCCGGGCGGAGAATGTTCTCTGCTCCCGGTCCCTGACAAGAGCTGCTCTGGTGTGAGAAGCTGGGTGGGGGCCGTACGAGGAGCCTCTGTACTTGCTATTCAAGTGTGCTGCAGACCTCAAACGGCTCTAAAAATAAAACCTATTTAAGATGAGGAGGGTTTGCATTTTGTATGTCTTTTGTTACTATTATTTCATTTTCCTGGTACATCGGTGTGATGGACTGAATGTTTATGTCCCTCAAAATCTGTACATTGAAGCGCGAAGCCCCAGCACCAGGGTGTTTGGAGGCGGAGCCTTTGGCAGGTGACAGGGCTTAGGGGAGGTCATGAGGGTGGGGCCCCCATGATGGGATTAGTGTCCCTCAAAGTGGAGGAGGAGACCAGCGCTCCCTCTCTCCCTCTGTCCCCGCCTTGCATTTAATATTCTTATACCTTTTTGGCTTGATCCCCAGCAAGAAGGAGACCCAGCAAGAAGGACCACCTGCAAGCCAGGAAGGCAGACGTTCTCCCGAGATGCCAAATCTGCTGGCACCTTGATCTTGGACTTCCCAGCCTCCAGAACCAGGAGTGATAAAGTTTCCGTCGCTTGATTCATCTTGTTATAACCATCCTAACCGACACAATTTTCAGTCAGTTTATTCTAATTTCCAAAAGCTTTTGGTCCATGACGGACTGGAGGGGGGGAAACACAGTCCTTCATCCCAGAGAGTGTGAGCAGCTCTGACTTGCACCAACAGCCCCATGCAGGAGCCCGACGTGCTGGTCGCCCGCGGCCACTCTGCCCCCAGCCCTGAGCCCGAGCCCCAGCTTTGTCAGCTGCCAAGTGAGGCTGCGGAGCGACCGGACCTCACCAGTCTCGCTGCCCCGGAAATGCCCGCTTCGTTTGGTAAACATGGGCAGCCTCGCGCACCCTCTCCCATAGCTCGCCACTGGGGAGGGCGTCCCAAAGCAAGCAGGGCTTGAAGGAATTCTGCCAGCCAGAGACACACTCATGGGCACGTCCACCCCAAACAGTCCAGAAGCCTGGGGTGTCCCACTCGGGCCTCAGATGCTTAGACACACAGCTTGTGTGACAACAAGTGACAACATCACACTATAATGCTGAGGTTTGTCTAAGTATACCACACGCGGACACACGAGCAGGGACAAGAATTGTAGAACCTCTAATTCCCTCCCAGGGCAAATACATATAAAATATTGTATTCTAATTATACTGCAATTATATATTTTTTACGTAATATTCCTTTAAGTCCGAGAAGCAAGACAGAAGTCAGTTTTCTGACTTCCCCAATACCTTCAGATCTCGCAAATACATGGGACAGCCCCCGGGGAGCCAGATCAACTCTTCAAAGCAGAGACAGGTCCCCACTGCCTCCTGCCAGGTATCAAGCGATGTCTGCAGTTTCGCGCACCCCTTTCCCGTTCTGGTTGTTGCTGGCAAATTCCCTTTCCTCAGAATGGCCCAGACCATCCCTGAGACTGTTTCTCCAAGGCTAGAAGCAGACGCCATCAGCACGTGGGGCGTCCACCTACCTTCCCTGAGCCTTCACGGTAAGGCCCGCGATGGCAGCTGGAGGGAGGGGTGCAGACTTCAGGGGAGGAAAAGGAGGGATGCATCTAAAACCAGTGCCGTCCCCGTGTAGGACAAAGCATAAACCTCGAGAGGTGAGAAAGGCCTGGCCTTTTCTTCCAGCCTCACCTGGAGACAACAGGCTCGGGGCAGCCACGCAGCCCGCTGGAGAGCACCCGGACCAGGTTCCATGGGCCGCATACGGCGGTCAGAGAGCCTGCGAGAGGCGGGGCTTGTAACACACTGGAGACCCCAGCAAAGGGGGCCAAGCCCCAGAGGGCAGCTCTGGTGCTGACAGCTAGGGCTTCTAGAGGAATCAAGAGGTGGATCACTGGCAGAGAATTCAGGGCCTGGGGGTGGGCGGATAGAAGGGAGAAACTGCCATGGGAAGCCGCATCCCCCTCCTCCACGAACACAGGGACCCCAGCACGGCTCTCCCTGGCTTCCAGCTCTGCCTCCCCAGCCACGGCTCCCCTCCCCCCAGAGCACCTCCACACACGCTTCCCCTCTTGGTTACTCAGTCCCCAGACCCCTCTGCAATGCCGCCTCCGGCCTGGCCTGCTGGCTTGCAGCAGCCCACCTGTGCCCCTGTTAGCCACGCTCCAAGCCTTACCCAGCACTCTGTCAGAGACACAGAAACACCAAACCGCGGCTGCCTGGAAGCTTCTGGAGATGGGCTGCTGGCGTGTGCCTGGCTTCTGCACCACTGAACTTCGGAGCTACCTGGGGCAAGGTACTGAACCTCATCTTCCTCATCTGTAAAATGGGGACAGTAAGAGGCCCACCTCTGAGGCCGCTGGGTAGTGGACAGAGAGTGTGGGAAGCGGCTAACAGTAGCTAGAGCACAGGCCTGCCCAGCAAGGCTGGCAGCCCCTCAGCTCACAGCCTCCTTCCCCAACCGCAGCTAGTCTCCAGCAGCTCTCTTGAAACGTAAACTAAAGCTGTTACCCCCTGTGAAAAACTCTTCTGGGGCACCTTACTGTTAGCAAAAAATCCAGCCTGAGGCTCTCTCTCCCTACCTCTCCCTTCGCTCTCAAGTCCCACTGTCCTCTAGTGTTCCTGCATTGGCTGTTCCCTCCCCCTAGAACACCCTTCCCTGCACCTCAGAAGTCCAGCCCAGCTCAAACCTCACCTCCTCAAAGAAGCCGTTTGTAACTGTCCTCTTCCTTCTTGGCACGACTCCCCAGTCTGTAATCCCGGCTAGAAAGCAGCTCTGGGAAGCTGCTCAGCCAAGGGCCACCAGCTGAAGGGGAAAGTGCCTTGTTGCTTAAACTGGTTCGGGGGCCTGCGGGGACCTGAGAGGCTGCCCACCGCTGCCCCGAATGCTCGGAAGGAAAGGCCTGGCCACCTACGCCCATACAAATGTACACGGAGCCCAGAGGCCCAAAGTACACGTTTTTATTCTCAGTTGGGCCTTCAGCATCTCGAGTTTTGCAAGCACAAATACATGGAATCAGCAAGAACCTCCCTAAACGTCTTTCATTACCATTTGTCACTGAGCGAGCTCCCCGTTTTTCCTACGAGACTGATGTGGGGACGACCTAAAACGAAGCTTGACACGTGCAGAACACCAGGGTTAACCGTCCTGCTTCTGTGCCCACGGCCCCCTGGCCGAGCAGTGGAAAGCTGTGGGAGCCAGCAGCCCCGTCTTTGGGGGGTGGGGGTGCTCAGGGAGCAGGGAGCAGGGGGAGGGAGGTGGGCAAAGAATCGAATCGTCAGCCCAGGTTCGGCCCACGTGACCTGGCAGAGGCTGGAGGGAGGCTGCCTCCGGGGCCTCCAGGTCAGGCCTCCGAAAGCCAAACGGGCCTGGAAGGACCCGCCTGTCCACCCCTGAATGTCCTCAGTAAGCAGAGCGAGGAGCTGGACAGTGGGAACAAATGCCCTCCTGGGGGCCTGGCCCCCTTCTGCGGAGCGCCCAGAGGTCACGCCCCCTCCAGCAGGAACTCCAAGGTCAGGGGGGATCGTTCCACCTTCCAGTCCATCCGCCCGTCCGTCCTGCCCGTCAACGCCAGGGTGGAGGGGGGTGCGAGGCGTTGCGGGGGCGGGGGGACCCCACAGGTTCACAGGACGGTCTCCCGGATGACGCCGATGAGGCTGTGGGGCCGCTCGGCCTCTGCTCGCTGGGGCCTCCTCTCGGCTCGGGGCCTCCCCGCCGGGGTGAAGGTGCTCAGGTCCCCGCAGCTCCGCAGGTGCAGGAAGCCAGGCTGTCTCGGCGGGGGCAGCGCGTGGGCCCGGGAAGTGCTGGGCGGCAGCGGGGCCATTATCTTGGGGAGAGTAAGAGGGTGGGGGAAGCGTTAGGCTGCATCAGATGTGGTCCCCCAGCCTGCCTCCTCTCCCACCCATGCCCTGCCTAGCTTCATTGCTTTGGAAAAGAAATAGGGAGTTTTCCCAAAGTGGAACACGCTAGAAATTCCAGAGGTAATTTCCACAGATGGCCTCTTTCCTAACGTTCCTAAAATGTTTCCCAAATTTCTCTTGTTTCAGCTGCCAACCTGCCTCATTTCACTCCCCCCATTTGCCCGTGGCAGGTTCTTGCTTTATCTGTAACAGTCTTCTCGCCATTTTTACCCAGTTTCCCTGGGGCCCGAGACGGGTTCTCGCCAGGGCCTGCACGTTTCTGGAGGGGAGGAGAGGGGGCTGGTACCACGGAGTCCCGCCTCCCCCGCAGGAACTGTGATAGGCAGGGCTGGAACCTCTACTTCTAACAAGAACCCAGGTGCTCCCAATGTTCTAGAAAAGTTGATGACCACCCGTCTGGCATTCTGGCCAGCTAATGAGTTGATGAAATGTCACCCCAAACCGGTGATGCCGCCAACTCGCCTGCTAACCCTTCGATCACAAAGCGTAATAAACAACATAAAACTGTGGCCAGTTTATTTGCAAAAAATGCTTAAGAATCGTTCTACCGCTAGATCTATTTTACAATGTAGCATACATGTAACTTGAAATATATAATATTATCGCTTACTTTGTAAAATGGCAAACATAAGGGAAACCCCTCATCCAGCTGGGACTGAGGAAGGAGAAATGACCACTACGTACAATTTCCAGAATTTGCACAGTCATGCTATAGGACCTATAATATGGTTAGCACCTTGAGAAAAATCCCAGGCGTTTCATGGCCACCTAACATCACAGAAAAACCACTAGGCTGATTTTTTGTTTAGCTTGTACCTTTCTGAGATTTTGAAGTCCTCGGGAGGTTAATCTTTCCAAAAGACGGGACATTAAATTTTGCTGACACACTGTCCCTATATGTGTCTTCAAAGCCCTGTCCTTGTTTCCTGGTCAAAAATAAAATTCCAACATTCATAGATGTCCATCGCTGTGACATGTAAGTTAGGGCAAGAGGTTTTGGTTGGGATAAACATCAAGATGAATCTAAAACCCGTTCCAGTCCTACTAGGAAAAGTGAACATGTACAAAGCTGGGTAGAGTCGAGAATAAAAGCTCTCCTTCTGCTTATCCCTCCCTCCTTCTGTCTGGGGCTGGTGTGGCACCAGGAAGCCTCGCCCCTGGAGCCCGCTCCTGGGAGGTCGCAGCTGATGGCCCAGGGTCCATTGCAACAATCCCAGCACCCGAAATTCTATCCAGACTTGGCACGAAGACCCAGCAAACATCTGTAGTGAGAGCGTGTGGTGAGTTGTAAGTACTTATTCATTTTCCCCAAAGCTACTTTCCAGGGCAGACTGAGCAGAAGATGCAGGCTGATGGCTGGGCAGACGCTCTGACTCTCACCTCACTAGAGCTTGGCAGCCGTGGACAAGTGACTCCAAATCCTTACTCTGTGTGTCGGGCTGTCAGGGCCAGGCGGAGGGAAGAAGGCAGGGAATGACTTCTGGCATAGACCAGGGTTAGGAGGATGTACATGTCTCCCCTACACGGATACCAACTATGGCGTGACCCAAGACCACCGGCGTCATGACCGCTGTTTGAAAGCGGACAGCAAGAGGGTCTGAGGTTCATGTACGTCTTTGTGCGAGTAACCAGACTGCTCTCCCGGGTCCCCTGAGGGGCTGGGAGAGAAACTGCCTTCTGACTTCTGTCAGCAGACGCCAGCAGGTTGAAAGGGAAACGGAAAGGAAAGTGAGAAGGAACTTGGTCAATCTGCCTTAACTCGCCTTGGACCCCGCAGCCCAGTGTACGGGTTACTGCACACAGACACGGCCAGGAAACACTTTCGAGCTGCTGTGCTCTGAGGTCACAACAGCCACCCCACCGTCAAGGGGCAATGAAGCAAACGGCTTGATCCCAGGATGCTGGGATCATGACCCGAGCTGAAATTAAGAGTCAGTCGCTTAACTGACTGAGCCACCCAGGCGCCCCCGGGAACGGTTTTTGTTTTTTTTTTAAAGATTTTTATTTATTTATTTGACAGACAGAGATCACAGGTAGGCAGAGAGGCAGGCAGAGAGAGAGGGAAGCAGGCTCCCCGCTGAGCAGAGAGCCCGATGCGGGGCTCGATCCCAGGCCCCTGGGATCATGACCTGAGCCAAAAGCAGAGGCTTTAACCCACTGAGCCACCCAGGTGCCCCCCGGGAACGGTTTTTTAAAGAGGTGGGAAATTACAGCTGTGACCCATCCCCAGTTCTCATCAGAGGGAAATCCCATTCAGACCACCTGGTCCAACAGTTCACTTTAAAAATGAGAAAACCGGGGCACCTCTGTTAGGCATCTGCCTTCAGGTCAGGTCATGATCTCAGGGTCCTGGGATCAAGCCCACGGGCTCCCTGCTCAGCAGGGAGTCTGCTTCTCTCTCGCCCTCTGCCCTTCCCTCTGCTTGTGCTCTCTCACTCACTCTCTCTCTCTCTTCCTAATAAAATCTTTTTAAAAAAATATATAAATGAGAAAACTGACGACCAAAAGGATTATGTTACATGCCTGATTTTATCTTTCCCCTGGGTGACTTCAGGTGAAGGAATTGTGCTTTTTCATCTATAATCTATGGAGAAAAGATAACTTATTCCTTTAAGTCCTATCGATTTAGGTGTCTTGCCATCATGTCATGGGGATCTGAAAATTCATGTCTGTCCATCATTGCCAGACAGGACGCCCTGTCAAGGGAAACCCCACTTGGCAAATGGAGTGCTGACGGGGCCCCACACGGCCCAGACCCCTTTTGTTCCCGAGCAACACTGCTTTCTTATCCCAGGCCTGTTCCACTTTCCAGGAAATCGGTTTCTCTCTCTGGGCCTGGAAGCTTGTGGAAAAGTCATCAGGCCTGAAAAGAAATGCTCCGGGTTCCTCTCTCCTTCCCCAGACCTCCTTCCCCCAATTTCCTTGATACCCTGACCTTGAACTTAAGGCGCCCTGGACAGGAAATCGGAGAAGCTGTTGCAGCTGCTATGGAGACACGCTCTCGGACTCGGGCCCGAGGTCAGTAATGACACTACCTGCTCCAGGAAGCCGGCGCTCGTGATGGCCTCCTCCATGTGCTCCTCGTCGGACTTGAGGACGGATTTAATGTTCTCCACCAGCTCGTGGATGTCTGGGGTCATACTGCAGGACGACTGCTCCAGGAACCTCGCCACCAGCAGCTTGGTGTCCATGTAGGACTTGTAATCTATCAGGGACCGGGGCCGGCATCGCGCAGCTCTGCACCGCAGACCTCGCCTCCAGGTCACCGCGGCCAGGTGCGGTCTGCCCTCAGTCTGCGTCGCGGCTTCGCAGCTGAGCACGGGGGCAGCTGTGGGTGGAGACAAACAATACGTGCCCGTTGGCCTCGCCCCGTGAGCTCGCGCCCGACTCGAGGCAGCACGGGCCACTAAACTCGGCGTGGAAAGCATGTTGCAAATGCCAACGACCATGCACAACTTGCTTTTCATCTTGCAGAGAAAAGGGGGAAAAACAAAAAAACAAAAAACAATGACATAAGCTCATTCCCTGAAGGTCCAACAGGATGCGTCACCAGAACATTTCACGGTGCCACGGAGAACACAATCACCATGGGAGCGACAGATGACAGGGGAGGGCATCCAGAATGGAGCAACCGTGCCGGGGGTGATGACCGATGTGGGGGGATGGGCAGGCGAGCAGAGGAAAGACGGGCGACCTGATGAGAGGAGGCTCCAAGGGAAGAGGATGCAGGAGCCTCTTGGAGAGGCTGAGGAGAGACAAGACCGCGGCGAAGCAAGAGCTCTGCTCCCTCTGACTGTACCTTTGTACTAAACATCCTCCGGGCGTGGTACCGACTTATCCACGCTCACGCCATGGCTGGGAGGCAGCTCTAGGGCTGACTATTCACAGAAAGAAAAATCTAGGTGCAGGGAAATCACCCATCATTCCAGAAGTCAGCAGCGGCCTGGGAAATTTCACCGCCAGGGGCTCTAATGTCCACAACTACCTACATCAGGAGGTTTAAGGACCAGCAGAACATGACTGTGCCATCGGGTGGGCCAAGGCGAATGCAGGCCCAGTCTCCGCATGTTCATAAGCCAGCCAGCAGCCTTCAGTGTACAGAACTCTGGAGGTTTCAGTCTGGGAAGACATGACAAGCGGGAATTTGATATTCAAGGAAGAAAGGAAGTGGAGGGTGGGAGGATACGTAGAGGAAGGGGAGCACTTCTTTTCCTCTGGAGAAACGTAGGCGCTCTAAACCAGGGTTAGCGGCCATCCTCCAGCCTGCCACGTGCATGTCCCAGAGAGCCGGAATTTTCCAGGAGCACTCCCTATGGACACTCCTGTGTGACGACAGTCAGGGACTATACTCCGTCACGGGAAGGCAATCTGGTCCTTCTACAGCAGAGGACTCCAGCAGGTAAACATGTGTCTCCTTCTCCCTGCAGCACCCTGGATCTGGAAGGACCTCACTAAGCTGTGCAGAGAGCCAAGCTCCTGTTGAAGCAGGCAGGTGGCCCGCTCAAGGCCTCAGCTTGCCAGGTCGGGTAGAGACCTGCCGTGAAACGGGCCTGGGAAGCTGAGGGGCCAGGTTGCCGGCCTCTGGGTTTGCAGAGGTGCTCAGTCCCAGGCGGCTGGACTCCTCCCGCTCAGAAGACAGGAGGAATGTTCTCTCTGGCTCCCGCACAGTCAGTCCAGAGCTGCAGCGAACAACACAGGCCGTCAGAGGGACAAAACCAAGACTGCAAGGGTGTGACATATGGTCCCAGAGAGAGCAAAGAGAGCGTGCAAAGTTGTATTTGCACAGAGCAGGGCAGAGGCACTTGTTAGAGGAGGTCACTGGAAAAAGCCTGTGCCGGCGGGATTCAAGGTTTTCATTTTCTCCCTTTCTTTCCTTCATTTTACTTTTACAGTTTTCCGCAATGAAGAGCTATTTGGAGATGTTCAGGTATCCACACATTCAGAGAAAGCACGCAGGGTTATTTTAAGTCTTTAAGATTTTTTAAATTTAAAATTATTCAAATGACATCTATAACAGACTCCACACAGAAAGGGAGAGAATGCGAGTGTGACTTTCACTCTAGCTAAACTTCTTAAAACAGGTCAGATTTAAATAACTCAACAACCTATACACAGTTTAAAAAAAAAAAAAAGATAACTTAGGTCATAAGAGAAAGGGTAAAAAAAAAAAATACACGCCTTTAACTTTTTCCTTGAGAACATTTATTTCCATAGGACCACGAGCACCCAGAAATCAGGACATTTGCCTTTTCTTCATGTTGTACCTAGAACACTATCGTGTGCAACTAAATGCTTTTGATGACAATGAAAAGAAAAAACTCTACCAGCCTTAAACAATGTGACCGGCGAATATTCCTAATGTGCATGGAGAATATCTTATTTTCCCAGGACCTCTTAACCTCTCTCGAGACATCTCTCAAGCTGCAGGGCGGTGGGCGGCCAGAGCCACCCACTTTCGATGGGCGCTTTGGGCCAACACGCACGGCGCTGAGCAAGGAGCTTGGGGAGGGACATACCTCTCTCCACGGAATGATGGAGCACAGGGTCGCTCCTTGATCTCGTCCTCAGGGCTGGGAAGACTGTCCGGCTTCTCGTGGGAGGCAGCTGGTTTGCATCGGGAGTTGAGATGGATGTGCTTTCTTCTCCAGGTGTGTTAGGAATGTCCTCACCTGCTTTTTTTTTTTTTTTTTTTTAAAGAAAAGAAACATAAATTTTTTCATCAGTTGCTGCCTTCACAAGGTTGGGCAGGAAGGCCCTGTGTGCCCAAACGTTCAGGAACAAGGGGACACAGTTAACCACATTTGCTTGGGCTGTTGGCCAGGTGAGTTTTTATTTCCCAGAACTGCGGGAAATGCTGCCTCTCCAAACCACCCCTCCACACCTAAAACAAGACAACAAAAAATTGTTAAGTCCACGAGTAAAGTCAAGAAGCCCTGACAAAATGTCAGGTGTTTTATGGTTTTTGGGTTTTTTCTTGGTTTTTTTGTTTGTTTGTTTGTTTGTTTTCCTGCAAAGGGCTTAGAATCTTCTCCAGGGAACCCTCCTGGTGTGGTGCCAAAAAGCTCCTCGCCACTTTCCAGTTTCTGGCAATGCAAGATGAGCCTGGGCAGGGTGGGAGGAACACCTGCCCGGGTCAGGGGACTTCCCCAGGGCTGCAGACCACGAAGGCAGGCTGGGAAGGTGTCCACACAGTCCAGGATGCAGGCTGGGATGTGAAAGGCATGGCAGCCAAGGCAAAGAGCCTGTGGCCACCATGTGGATGGGGAGAACCACTCAAGAAATGGATGACTTCTGCTTAGGACAAGCACATCAGAGCCTTGGTGTGCCTGAGTGTGGTCTGGGCAACTTTCTTAAGAAATGGGAGAATCACAACCATCCTTAGGGAAGAGAGCACTGCTGCCTTGGTCTAAGACGGAAGGTGAACAGAAGAGAAACTCATTCCAAACAGTGCTGCTGAAAAATCACCCCCACCAAAACCAGCTAGAAAGAGCTGATCCATTATTTTTCACCTCTGCCATTTCGTGCAGGTGCACAGTTCTCTGCGCCATTTAAAAACCTCTCCAAAGACAGAGAGTTGCAATCACGCTCCCTTAAATGACAAGGATAGCTGTAAACGGACTCTTGTCTTTTGAGGCAAGACAGAAAATCAGCATTCACTAGGCGTGAAGGCAGCATGACCCAGACCCGAGGTTATAAATGACAGCACAATCTCACAGCAAATCATCCTGCCATAGACAAAACTCATTTTTCCTTTTAGAAGAGCCCTTCTTATTTTAACAGGAGAAAGAAATCTTAGGTGGGAAAACACGGGAATGCCAAATTAAACTCTCTATAATCCATTTCACAGGTCCCTGAGACAAGTCTGGGGACTCATTGAAGATTCTGAGCCTATCTTTATTTCTGTTCACACAGTATCTCCTACTCGCCAATTGTTGACAGTATTTTTAAAACTGGAAAGAAGGGTGCAATTTTTTTTTAAGATCTTAAAAATTTACTTATTTGAGAGAGTGTGAGTGGGGGAGGGGCAGAGGGAGAGAGATGAGCAGACTCCCCACTCGGCAAGGAGCCCGATTTGGGGCTGGATCCCAGGACGCTGAGATCATGACCTGAGCTGAAGGCAGACATTTAACCCACTGAGCCATCCAGGCACCCAAAGAAGGATGTAATTTGAACCATTGGCTGCAAGATATCTGACCTCCAACAAAATATATAGGTCATTATTATTTTTTTTTCAGTGAGTGTGACTGTATTTAAATTATTCCATAATAAGACTGATGAAAACACATGAAGGGGAAAAAACCGTCAAGGCCTTAGGGTTTTACTATTAGCAAATTACCTCAGGGCAGGTGCTGTTTTAGGCAAGTTCGAGACTCTAAATTTTTGCTTTCTCTTGTCTCATAGGAATTTCTTCTCATTTCCTGTGATACTTATTATATATTCTGGAGAATATTTGATGACTTGTTACAGGAGTTTTTAAAAAAATTTTTTCGCCATCTTATTTATTATTGCATTTTTAAAAATTATTAACATATAATGTATTAATTGTTTCAGGGGTACAGATCTGTGATTCACCAGTCTTACACAATACACAGCTCACCATAGCACATACCCTTCCCATCCCTCAGACACCCCATACCTCCCACCTCCCTCCACTCCAGCAACCCTCAGTGCGTTTCCCGAGATTAAGACTCTCCTATGGTTTGTCTCCCTCTGTGGTTTCATCCTGATTCATTTTCTCCCCTCTTCCCCTGTGATCCTCTGTCCTATTTCTCAAATTCCACATAAAATATATTGGTCATTGGGGTGCCTGGGTGGCTCAGTGGGTTAAAGCCTCTGCCTTCGGCTCAGGTCGTGATCTCAGGGCCCTGGGATCGATCCCCGCATCGGGCTCTCTGCTCAGCGGGGAGCCTGCTTCCCCCCCCCCACCCCGCTGCCAACATGCCTCTCTGCCTACTTGTGATCTCTGTCTGTCAAATAAATAAATGAAATTAAAATATATATATATATAGGTCATTGTTTAATGATGTGTTACTCTACGGAATCCTGTGTTTGGGCAGGAATCGTGTATTTATTACCTTGAGTCGGTGGCATGCGGATCGGTTCCAAAGGGCTCGAGGCACCTGCCGATCCTCCTGGCACGTGGAATGAAGACCCCTACATCACAGGAGAAAAGAGGGCTACCTCGGGGCATTCGGCTCAACTCCCACCTGGACTCTGCCGGACTTAAAAGCACATTCAGGACCCGTGTCCCAGGGTTCTCCGCGCGCCAGGCTGCGCTTCCCGCCAGTGGTCAGCACACTGGTGAGAAACTGTGGACCGTACCTGCGCCTGGTCCGTCTGGCTCACCACAGCTTCGTACGGAGGCGGGGGGTCCAGGGGACAGAACACTTCCACACCTTTGATCCGTGCCCCGTAGATGTGGGGGAGGGGAATGACATCAGGGCCGAGCGTCCTAGGGAAAGCGTTCTGACATCAGGAAGCAGGTCTACAGACCGCGGGTCTGACAGTGCTTGCTTCTGCGTGATGACGGTCTTTGCCTTGGGACAGCGGTCGGCGGACCGAGCAGAAGACCCCTGGCCCCTCACCCCTGCATGACAGTCTCCTGACCCAAAATCGGGTGGAATAATCTCAGCTGAGGGAGGGCCCAGAGTCTCTTAGGCCAGTGACGACGTATGAAATGCAATGCCATCGTTGCTTTTAAAGCCACTAGCCAGAAAGCAAGCAACAACCCACAGGCAAAGCAGATGGGTGGTGGCTGGGGGAAGGGAAACAGGGGGGACCGCTGAGTGGGTATAGGTCTCTCTGGAGGGGATGAACACGCTGCAGAGGCAGATGGGGGGGTTACATAATACCGTGACTGTACCAAATGCCACTTAATGGTAGACTTCCAAATGGTTCGACTCATGTTATGTGAACTTCACCTCGATGAAAGAGAAAACAAAACTAGGGACTCAGGGCAACACAATTATTTCCTACATTAGTACATGACAAGATTTCTTGCCTGGGTTTACCTAAGGCCTGGGTTTACCTGGGTCTGATTCATGGTAGAAACTCCCAATTTGTTAAATAAATATTTGAAGGGCTGCATTGCTTTTTTTCCAGGAAAGCGAACAACATCACAGCCCAGAGACAAAGCAGGACGAAGGAGAGTGATCCTTCCTAAATACAGTCAGTCGAGCAAACACTGGTTGCGCACCGGCTTCAAGCCAGGCACGGGGGCTTTTGTCCTGTGAGTGAGAGGCCCTCCATAGCAAATAACTAAATAAATCTCAAGATATTCTGCCTGTGTTCCTAGAAAACCACACACACACACACACACACACACACATAGCCTAGATAATAAAGAGCCTCAATTATGAAACGGTGGTTTAAAATACACAGAAACTTGTTTCTTTTGACCACACTTCCAGTTATAAAGTCAGTCAGTCCCAGGGGATGTAAGAGACAGCCCAGTGACCACGGTTAATAATACCGTATTCCCTACTTGAAAGTTGCCAAGAGAGTAAACCCTCAAAGTTTTGATCACAAAAAAAAAAACAATCCTGCAACGATGTGCGGGGACAGATGTTACCTAGACTGACGGGGGCCATCGTTCCACAATATGCACTAATATGGAATCATTATGCTGTACCCCTGAAGCTAGTAGAATGTTCTAGGTCAGTTTTATATCCCATTTTAAAAAGGTAAAAGGAAAACCAGAAAACCTGTGCTCAGGCCATGGAGCATTGGAAAATGAAAAGAAGAGGTAATAGCAGAAGTTTCGTGCCCGTTCTCGAACGATGAAAATGATCATTAGCTGAAGGAGACGGGTGAAATGGCCTGGGCCAGCTGTACATTCAGAAAGGCGCTCTGTGGAGTCATGGTTGTTTTGTTTTATCCCAGTGCCCATTTATAAAAATGCAACTGGTGGAGGAAAACAAGTTGAAAAAGATGTGATGTTCTTTCTTCCTTGCAATAAAACTCAGTGAGCCCTAGGGACTCCTTCCGTCCTCTCCTGAGGGCCAGGCTTCTGTCCTGAATTAGCAGGACCCCATGAGCCATCTTTCCAGTGCTCTCACATCCCCTCGCTTCCCCCCTTGAGCCAGTTCCCCACCTTTCCCGCTGCTGTGTCCTCCTCAGGAACACGCCAGCTGTGCCTGTTGCTCTGTTAGCTCTGGTGATCTTTGATGTTCCCCACCCAATGGCTATGTTCTCAGAGAAGAGAGGGTTTGCTTGGGGCCAGGAGGTCAGAGGAACAGACTTCCGTTTTAGATCTTAAATGACCATGGAATCCCTTTAAGAAGCGGGGGAAGGGGACACATTTTCTTTAAATCGACCCCAATGAACTGCTTCTTATGGTGGTTACTGTGATGACCAAGAAAGCCTCTTTGTGACAGAAAATGCTTCAAGAAAAGGAAGTTTCCTTTCCTATGAAGCAGTTCTTATTTACATCTGTTCGGTACGTAGGGATCTGTAGGGTGAAATCGGTGCACTGTGAAATCCCTGATCCCTTATGGTCCCCAACCCTAACTAGGGAGTAGAATCACCCGGGGAAACCACTTGGGGAGGTTTGCAGACTATGGGAGGCCCAGGCCTCGCTTCCAGAAATTCTGCTCTAATTGCCAGTGGTGGGGTACAGACAGGTAAGAAGAGATTTTTATCTCCTAAAAATCAGCTAAGTGGCCATGTGATGAATAAGGAAGCTGGGCTTCAGAGATGGTAAGAGAACCCCCCGCCCCCCGTTGCCGGGCCCAGGGTCACCCTGGCAAGAGACCCCAGAGCCTGGGCTCCTTCAAGCTCACCCGAAACTCTCCAGGAAGCCTTCAGTGGTTCATGCTCATGAGCACTGAGTACGGACAGGAAACCCACACAGAGCACACCAAATGAGTTCTGCTAAGGTGACAACCAGGCTTTGAGAACTCCTGAGAGGGGGATACAGCAACTAAAGAGTGGTCCTCCCTTGCGTCCGGGGCTGGCGGTGAGGGCTGCCGGGCAGAGGCGCACTGGGCACACAGTCACCCTCCAGCAGAGCCTGGCTCCCCCTGACTTTGGGTTTTGAACCTCACGAGGAAAGGGAATGAGTTTATTAGGTTCACCACCGAGGAACAGATGCCTGTGTTCAGTTTGCCATCATACTCCGCGTTCTGTAACACGTTACGTCCCCACGTTCCGACCAGGTCCCCAGTCACGGAGCAGGTGGGAGGCTCTCCTTTTCGATCCCAGCTCCAACTGATTTCTGAGGATGGGGGCGGGGTGAGAGGGTCCCTGGGGTCATGGAGGAGGAGAGCTCCACCCGACTGTCCTTATAAATCAAGTCCCGAGGCAGAAACCCATCTTGGGGTGGAAACCTTCACTGCAATCAGGTTTCTGTTTCTGGCAGTAATTTGAGAAGTCCTTTCTCAAGCAGGGGCCAAGGCATGAAGGGGTTGTATTTATAGAAGGTAAATAAATAAACCTCTCTGAGAGGTCGTGATACCTTGCAGGAAACAGGGGGCTTGCATTACGGGAAGACTCGTCTCGTAACCGGTTGTGGAAATGTTAAAGAAAACATTTGTGACGATTCTTGCCTGCCTGCTTATAAGAAGGAAAACCACCACCTGGTGTCAGTTGGTGTCTATAAAGTGGATATGGAAAAATCTAGCAAAGTGAGTCAAAAACAAAAATACCTTTGCTACAATATGTATCGAAAGGTGAATAAATGTAGCCATTTTAACAGTGGACAGTCCTCTGGTATTGGGAGAATTTCAGAAAATGGGGCTGTTTGCCCACTGGAGATACGATCTAGGCCTCCACGCACAGTATATAGTATAGCATATAAAGTATATATTTTAGGCCTAGCAGCGTCTTCTTTCCCGCAGGGATGTATCGCTTTAACACCCTCCCCCATGTTCCTTCTGGACAGTTCTGAATGGTAAAGCCCTTGGTGAGAAGCTTGTCTGGATCTGGCCAGGGGCGGTCTCAGGACTCAGAGGGGTGAACCCAGGGATGCACCCACACCCCCAAGAGTGGAAATACCCACACTGGTGAGTGTTACTATGGAGGAACTGAGAAGGGAAATGGAAGAGAGAAGGGCAGGCGGGGGAGGGTCTGTCCGAAGGACATGCAGCCGGGTGCAACTCCTACACCCTCATGAGTCACTTTCCCTTTCTGCCACTGCAGGAAATTAAATCTCTCTGTTGCCTCCTCTTAGGTCAACCAAGGGCTCACCTCCAATCTCAGAGAGCCAATTAATTCTCCGTCTCTAAGACGGCATTTCTCTTCCCAACCACAAAATAACAGGCATTTTTTTTTGAACTGCCTTCCAGCATGTCCCTCTGCACACAGCCTGAGACTGGTCTAAGGTATGAGCAAGCGTGTCCGTCAGCACACCAGTACGTCTCTCTGGCCCCTGTAATTTCTGCCTCATTTCCTAATACACTATGAAAGTCATCCTAGCCCCCCCAGCTTCGAAATTCCAATATACTGCTCCCTGCACAACTGGGAAGCTGAATTTCCCTGTGCATCCATGGGCACCCCTCCAGCTTTGTGGCCTTCTCAGGCCTTGATTAGGTGGGCAAGGAGGGGAGGGCTTGGAGGTGGGGTGTAGGCAGGACTCTGAGCAACAAGTTGGGGGGTCACTCCTGGAAAAGAATGTTAACAGTGTCTGGGCGGTAGCTCACGCTGGTGACTTGAATTCTTTCTTACAGAATTCAAAGATTTTCTTTTGGAAGCTTAAGGTTTGCTGCTCCTTGAAATTCAGCTTAAGATCATTTCACCCACGAAGCCAACCCTGACTGGCTGACTCTTTCTCCAAAGCCCTCTGCAGCCCATTTGCCATCCTGGGTTAGGTGGTCCTCCTCGGGGCACTCAAAATCTCTTTTTTGAGAATTATTAGGATCCTTGCAACACTCATCTGTCACGACCTAGACTGTGAGTCCCCTGAGAGGGGAAGGAGGTGGGTCTAAGTCATCTGGAAGGTCACCAACCCAGGAGGGTGACTAATAAGTGGCAGAGGACTGATTAACTGTTTGTTGAATGAATAAACAAAGTCATTCTTTAGAGAGGTACAATTCTAGAAGTCCGTAACAGCCAGACTAGCGCATGCAGCATTTCCCTCTGCGGATAGTCATTTCTGAAATTTAAGAAGCAAACGATAGATCTTGAGCTAGAATTTGAGAAAGCAAATAAGCGTGGTGTCTATTTTTTCTAGACCAGGGAGAAGTCATGAATAATTAATCTCCGCTTAATGGCTGGGAAGAATGTCATGATTTGGGGACCCGCCGATGGTGTTATAATGAACATCGATTTGGCCTCCGCAGGTTTCCAGGGCAACCTCAGCACTCAATCAAGTCACATGACAGCGGCTGTCTCACTGGGTGTCAGTTTTCCTGGGAAGCTAATTGAAATGGAAAAAGTATATCCTTAGGTCAAAGTGGGACTTTTCTTTGGTTTCCTGCTGTTTATCAGACAAAAGAGCAGGGTGGGGGAAGGGGATAGAGAATCCTGAATGGGGGCACCTGGCTCGCTCAGCCGTACAGCACACAAGAGGCTTGATCTCAGGGTCTTGACTTCAAGCCCCACATTGGGCAAGAAGCCTACTTAAAAAAAAAAAAAAAGGGAGAGGGAGAAAGAGAAAGAAAATCCTGAAAAATAACACCATCTGTCTACATTCTGGAGAGCAGTGAGCTCATGTTAGGAATCCTGGAAACTTTTCCGTCTTCCAAACAGAGGGCACCTCAGGCTCAGCTAGGGCAGGGGCACAGAGGAAGCCTACCTGCGGTTCATCCGGGGTGTGCACGAGTAAAACGTGGCGAAATAGGAAGGGGGGGGCACTGGCGGCACGAAGTCCTCGGGGTCTGGGATCCGTCCGTGTTCTTCCACGTCCTCGGCAGAAATCTGAGTTTCGTCCTGATGAAACAAGCACCCTGGTTAGTCAACAGGCTTCACGACAGCGGCTCCGTGGGACACGGTCATGGCGCCGCCGCGTGCGGACTTACGATGCAGGCTCTTCTGGCTGCAAACATCTGGAGGTAGCGAAGGGCGGCTGCCACCAAGCAGACGGTGGTGGTCAGGGCGTTCAAGGCACACAGGGCGAAAAGGACTTTCTAGAACAAGGAAACAGTAGCACCCCTGAGTACACGGAAGCTGCCGACTGGAAGGCAGTAGAAAAACTCTTTTTTTTTTTTTTTTTAAAAGATTTTATTTATTTATTTATTTATTTGACAGATCACAAGTAGGCAGAGAGACCGGCGGAGAGAAAGGGGGGAAGCAGGCTCCCTGCTGAGCAAAGTGCCCGATGCAGGGCTCGATCCAAAGACCCTGGGATCATAGCCTGAGCCAAAAGCAGAGACTATAATCCACTGAGCCACCCAGGCGCCCTAAAAAACTTCTTTAAATAATAATAATGATGTCTCAGTAAGGCTATTCTGGTGGGAAAACACATGCCAAGCACTTTGAAGTCTGGCTCATGGTAAGTGCCAAAGAAATACCAGTTATTGATACGGCTCTCGTGCAGTCATGTATTTTAATTTTAAAAATTTATCTTAGAGGCTTCCTGTCCCAGAAAGCCCTGGTATTACAAATTTTCTTTTTGCCAGCACCACACTGCTGTCTAGAGATATTCCTTCCAGGAGAGCAATGAGTGCCTCCTCTGAAGTTGGTGTCCCTGGCCTCCCACTCCCATCGCCTCCCACCGCAACGGCCTGCTGTTTGATCGAAGCCACGGATTCCATTTCAGGAGCAACTGGCAGAGCTCCCCTGGGCACCCAACTATGACAGTCGGGGGTGGGGGGTAGGCCAGCCAGAGTGTAAAAAGGGCGTCTCTTCTCCAAACCCACATCTCAAAATAGCCGTAAGGGCACTTCCAAAAGTTTCTGTTGCCACGGTCCTGGCTCCCCAGGGAGGCTTTCCCCAAGAGGGGTCCTGGCTCACAGAAAGTTTGGGGGTGACTCAGCTATCAGAAATCCAGAAGCCGAAGATAGAAGGCCACTCTTACATTCTACACAATTTAGAGAGCTGGCAGCCGTGAGATTCCTCCTTTGAACAAGAAAACAAACCCCAAACAAAGATCTGGAAAAAGCCCTCAGTGAGGGATTATCCAAAAGCTAATACCTCGGGGTTCACCAGCTGAGCTTGTCACTCACTGGGCTAACGAGCCAAGAGCCGAGCTGTAAGTCCGGACTCAACTTTGATCCAATTCCCTACTAAAGGGTAATTTTTTCCTTCTCTGCAACTCGTACCATTTATTTTTAACCTCTCGATTATTATAGTTGTGCTCATGAAACAAAAGGCAAGGTGCATGGATTTCCCTTGCATTTTCTAACCTATATCTCTCCTAGGTCTCTGTGTCTTGGCTCACCAGCATCCAACGCCCCTGGGCATCCACAGAGCCAACAAAGGAGCATCAGAACAAGGACATATGGGCATGCAGTTCAAAGGTTTTGCCCAAAACAGGGGCGCCTGGCTGGCTCAGTCAGTAGAGCATGCAACTCTTAATCTCAGGGTCATGAGTTCAAGCCCCGCGTGGGTGCAAAGCCTTCTTTAAAAATTCAAGGTAAGGTTTTGCCAAAAGCTGCATCAGCTGTGTGTACCTATACCATGCCTGCATATGTACGGATACACATGTACATCAATGTACCTACACACGTATGTACATGTTTAGGCTCCTTTACTGTCTTTTGCTATCTTGTAATTCTTGAACACAAAGCAAACCAGCCGTCATCATTTAAGGCTCGCACAATCATCTGTGCTTCTTCCTGAAGTCACTCCTGTCTCTGGGTCGCTGACGAGGGTTGGCTCCTACCTGCTTTCAGCAGCACCATCGTGTGAAGAGGTAACAGAGTAGGGATAGTTCAAGTAGCTCTGCCTTCTCTGAGGGCTCCAGGGTGTACTACTGACGGGGGTGGGGTCCGTTCACGTTACCTTAAGCAGAAGGTGAACAGCACTACAAGGCTGAACCGGAAAGAGTTTCAAGGCATTTTCTTTGTCTGTGCATTTGGCTGGTTGAAATTCTTCACAGCAGAAGCAAATCTGGCCTTCACCTAAGTCCACCTTAAGGAGGGAAAGGCAGAACCATCATTTAATTACTGAGAATAAATATACAGGCTACCCATGGGAGCACTAACCCTGCAGAATGAGATACGGCGGTGTCTGGATCCATCAGGACAGGCTTTGGTATGCCATCGTAAGGACAAGGTTATTTTCTGAACACGCTAATGGCCACTGCACGTTAGCAGGGGCTCTGCTCATCTTTGTCCCTTAGGATCCCAGGCTGATGAAGCACACACTGTTTTAGGATTAATGATCGTTATGCCAGAGAGGTAGAGAGCACATGATAAAATGCACCTTGGCGCTTAAAGTAGGGCTGCTGGTTAAAATATGAGACACCCAGTTAGAAAACTATTAGCTGTTCATCCGAAACCCAGATTTGTGTTTGTGCTTGCTTAATCTTGTAACTCTAGCTTAAGTCTTCCTCTTGCAAATGACGCTTATCCCTTTAGCTCCCATTTTATTGCCAAAGTGAATCCTACGGCCCTATCTACCTAACTCCAAGAGGGTGAGAAGTTCGAGCTCCCACGTGCCTATGGGAAACCCAGGGTGTATTCGGCAAACAGTAGCCCTAAACCGTGTAGGCTTAAGGAGATCTCTCAGCTGGACATCTTCAATGTGGTCCCAGATCTAAAGTGATAAGTCATGAGTATCTCATATTTTGTAATGAAATGTTTTGCGAACTTTTAGCCACATTTCGAAGGTTCCCTTGAATCAAGTTGTGAAAATACGCAACACCTGGTTTTGGCTAATGAACACCCATAATTTGGGAGCAGATGTTCATTTCTACTTGCTTTGCCTCTCGTCGGAGTTGGCTATTCTAGTGTGGCTAAAAGGGAAAGCCATGCCCTTTTCATATTTGTTAAGGAGGCAGCTTTGACGTCACTAGCTGCAAAATTCTTCAGGAATCTTTAAGAATAACTGAACATCTACAGTGTTTGAGTTACTTAAAAGAAAGAGTCTTTTTTCTTATTGAAGGAAGATTCTTAGCTTCTTTGCTGGGGGGAGGGGTTAGGGAGAGGGTGGTGGGGTTATGGACACTGGGGAGGGTATGTGCTGTGATGAGTGCTGTGAAGTGTGTAAACCTGGCGATTCACAGACCTGTACCCCTGGGGCTAATAATACATTATATGTTAATAAAAAAATAAAGAATTAAAAAAAAAAGATTCTTATCTTCTAACCAAACTTACCCTCTAGTTACCCTCTAGTCAAAAATTTACGGTGTTTTTCCAAATTAAGAGAAAATATAGTTCTTTGTTGATTAGGAAGTGAAGGGAAAAAATTCCACTAAATATTACACATTTGTTGGGGTATGGGTTTCTCTTTCTTTGGATGTAAAACTTAAACACACACACACACACACACACAAATTTACATACACAAATCTTGAGCATACCATTTGCAGAATTTTAAGCAATGCATACCCCTGTGCTAAGCCTTACCAACCTTACCAACATACAGAACATAGTATCACCAGAGAAAATTCCACCATGTCCTTCCCCATTAATCCCTGCCCCCACCCTCTTACAGGCAAACACTGCTTTGATTTTTTCCACAAGGATTAGTTTTGCCTCTTCCAAAACTCCACGGATTCTATAAGATTTTTTATTCTCTGTCCCCAAACCACGTTGAAAGGGGATACATTATTATATCAAACACCGATGCCCAGATCTTGATATAAATACTGCCTCTGACACCAGAACTACTGGAGTTACCTCCATGGACTCCTTCTCTACCCTTTCCTTTCCACTTGGTTTCTGTCCTTTCCTGGTTTGCCCACAGACACTGTTATCTCCTTAATGTCCCCACACCTAAATCCACACACTGACCCCCAGACACACACAAAAGCAAAAGACTGTGTTTAGATTTTTCTTCCACTGTCTCACATTTTTGAAGGCASCCCCTGCTGCTAAAATCTACATTCGATTTTTACTTTCTAAGGGAAAACTACTGTGGCCACTCACACAGGATTTCTCTAGCCAGGGTCTGGGCGACGGTGAGGTGTGCGGGGGTGGGGTGTGCAGTGGGTGGGGGGTGGATTTTATTTCCTCTTGGGCTTTCTCTTAGCCCCTCTTGTATGAATTAATAATAGTCCTTACTAATAGTCCTTACTAATGGGCTAAATTTAGCAGGTACGGGTTACTCCTAATGGGCTTCTTCCTTTGAGCCCAGCTGAGAGCTCCCTGATTTAACACCAGCAGTACTGTCTGGTAGTTACAAATAAGCCGTCATTCAGTTGCTACATTCTGCTCATGTACCCAAGGCCCCCTTCTTCCCAAAAGCCAATCACACTCACTTTTCTCAACACCATACCCTGCGGGTTTCCAGTTCTTGTACTTAGGTCAGCTTCAGAATCTCACCTACGGATTCAGCCTCCCGCAGGTAATACCTGGTATTATCTTACAAAGCACTCCCCTCCCACTCGAGTCCAGTGAAGAGAGAAGACAGACCAGCGTGGGCTGCACACACGCACTGGTATTACTTAAACATAACCAGATTTGTATGTATCCGGAAACCTCAGCTATCCGGAACCTCGGGGTGAGCTGGTCCAGATGCAACAATTTTCCGGATGGGTGAAGGTTAATCTCTTCACACACGGCTTTTGGAAAATTTAATCATTATCCAGATAAAAATGAGTATTAGTGGCTGGGCCCAGCTGACACGGCAGCCCTGAGTCTCTGCACAAAAAGGTACGAGGCGACGTTGCGTTTTGGATTTCTTGTTCTTTCTGTTCCTGACCCTTCCCCTCCCTTCTTCATCTCGGCTCTGCCCCAATATTTCTGCAAAGTTGTTCCAGCTTCTCTTTGATCTCTTTAAGCATCCACGAACATCCCTGTGCAAGCCTCTACACGAAAACCATCCATGTTGGGGCACCTGGGTGGCTCAGTGAGTTAAGCCTCAGGTCATGATCCCAAGGTCCTGGGATCGAGCCCCACATCAGGCTCTCTGCTCACGGGGGAGCCTGCTTCCTCCTCTCTCTCTGCCTGCCTCTCTGCCTACTTGTGATCTCTCTCTCTGTGTCAAATAAATAAATAAAATCTTTAAAAAAGAAAACCATCCACGCTTCGACCTTGATGCTGTTCCCTGACACCATCAGACCCTCCATCTCTCTCCTCATCACCAGGATTATGGTTCTCAACACGGGCTGCTCTTGAGCATCTTCTAGGAAGCCTTTTACAAAGGAGGACACCTTCTCTCGCAGCCAGGGGACTGAGCTGACTTGACGAGGAGTTCTCACACGGCCACCATCAGACTGACAAACAGTAGAGAGAAACGCTTGTAGCTGGCGGAGAGTCACCGGTAGAAACGTAAGTTTAACCCTTTAATAAAGGAACTGGCTGTATACCTTAAATTAAAAATCCTTATTCCCCAAGCATGCTGGGAAATTGTTTAGCAGTTTCTTATAAAGTTATACAGACTTAAGTTTACCACAGGACCGAGCAAATCCACACCCCATTATTTACTCAAGAGAAACGAGAATGGGCCCACAGGAAAAACCACAACTCCGCAAAAATGTTTACAAGAGCTCTGTTCATAATAGCCCCAAACTGGAAACAATGGGAATGTCCATCAGCAGGAGAGTGGATTCAGCAAACTGTGATATTTTTATACAATGAAATCCTAATGTGCAAAAAAAAAAAAAAAAAGCAACAGACACAACACAAAATCGTGGCCGGATCTCCGAACTGTTATGCTGAGCAAAATAAGACAGAGACAAAAAGGTACATACCCGAGGATTCCATTTGGGTGAAACGCAAGAACTGGCCAGATGAAGGTTCTAGCTCTTGTCCGGGGAATATACATGAATGTATACATTGGTCAAGATGAATGTATACATTGGTCAAAACTCACTGAACTATACACTTGAGATCTGTGCATTTCAGTGTAAATTTTAACTCCATTTTAAAGAATGGATGGAGCCGCCAAAGGATTGAATGTGTAATTTTTAAAGAAATGAGACAAACCGAAGAAAAACTATACCTTCCCCACCAGGAACGCTCTCTGACCTGGGAAGGGGTTGTGCAGGAGGGTAAGGGTGGCTAGATTGTTTTTATCAGCCAAAACCCAAACCACCCCAGACAACAAGGCAATAGAGAGCCAACCTGTTCAAAGCAAAGAGTGTTAGATCTGTAAGTGAGAAACACAGTATGGGGGGGTGGGTACAAAATGTCCCATTTTTGGAAAAGAAATAGCAATTAGGTCCACCCCCTACCTGTTTAGGTGAGATCATCTGAACACATGGAGGGAGACCCCCAGTTATTAGCAAGAATTTGGGGTAACTAGCATGGTGGGGAGGGAATGAGGAAGAGTGTCCCCTTCCCCAGAAAGATTTCATTGGTCAAACAGCCTCCCTAATGGAAAACAACAATTATGATACGGTCCCACTGATGGAAATTGTGTTTTTATGTATATAAAGACGTGCCCCAAAAATCTGCCAAACAGTTAATCGCGCTTACCCAGAAGAGTGAAATTTCAAGTGATTTTTAAGTTCTTTCCTATATGTTTATGACTTGTCTGAATTTTTACAGTTTTATAATCAGATACAATCACAGAGTGGGTTTTTATGGTGAGGATAAATGTTTAATTAAAAATACACTTAAAGGGCGCCAGGGTGGCTCAGTGGGTTGAGCCTCTGCCTTCAGCTCAGGTCATGATCTCAGGGTCCTGGGATCGAGTCCCGCATCGTGTTCTCTGCTCAGCAGGGAGCCTGCTTCCCCCCTCTCTCTCTGCCTGCCTCTCTGGCTACTTCTGATCTCTCTATCAAATAAATAAATAAAAATCCGTAAAAAAAATAAAATAAAATAAATAAAAATACACTTAAAATATAAAAAGATAAGGATGCCTAGACCCCTCCCCCTCTCTAGGCCAATGGACAATCTTTGGGAATGGGGCCCCACCCAGTTAGAGGATTCTTTACAAAGTCCCCTCAAGTGAGTCTAATGGGTATCCAGGATAGAGAACCACAGAATTTCTCAGGAAAGTCCATTAAATTTATCTTTGACCCCTCGCAATCTGGCTTCTGCTTTTCCAAGAGCTACCAAAGCTCCCTTTCCACTACTGCCCTCTGAGTCCTCTCCTCTCTCAGGCTCTACCCACTCTCATTATCTATTCATCACTCAAGGTCCACGTCACATACCTATATTCCTTATCTTTGCCCGGATACAAGCCCTTCTTTCTCTGCATGCCCCAGGCGCTGTCTCCCTCTGAAGGCCAGACTTGGTGGATCTACCTGCCACTGGACACGTATCCATTCCCTCTGCAAACACCACTCAAGCGTTCGCCGTGCTTGTCCCATTCCGCTTGCACATCATAAACTTCTAGGTCAGGAACGAGGTCTGACTTTCCTTTCTACTCTCAGCAGCCTCTCTAATCAGTGTCTTGACATAAGAGGTGCTACAGTTTTGCCAAACTATCTTTCCAGATAGGGCAACTTTTCACTTTCAGCCTGGGTCTGGCCTCTTTGCCCCTTCTAATTGGCTGTGTGATGAGTAATTGGAAAACCAAGCTTGGCTCAACGTTTTGTTTTGTTTCATTCCTGGGAACTCCGTCTGTGAAGGAGTGGGAGGCAGCTGAGGGGACCACTGAGAGCTCCCAAATTAGTAGAGAAGCTGACATTGCCCTTGGGGAGATCCCAGCTTGGAAGAAGGGAGGAGACAGGTGTATGGAGAGCTCTAGTCCAAAAAACGAAAAGGATATATGCCTGAGAGGTGGACATGTAGGACACTCTGGAAGATTATCTTTCCTAGGGGTTCAGGGACTGTCTCCTGAAGGAGTTAATCTTTGAATGGAGCTGTAAAGGACTGATATTTGGAGGAACAAGGACTGAGAAATAGGGAATTTGTAGGGAGAGATGGTGTTGTTAAAAGTAAGAAAATAGGGCCATGCCAGGTGGTCTTTGGAGCAAGGACAGGCAGTGCGAGCTGCCTCCAGGAGCTGGTGAGAAGAGGGTGAATTGCACAGGGCCTATAAAACCAGAAAAGGCTGTGAGCCTGGGATCCCGTGACGGAAGTTCATTAAACAACGGTGTGACAACATCGGAAAACTTGTGAAGGAGTGTGCAGAGAGAGCACCAGGTTTGTGGTGAATCCCTGAGTCTGCCCATCGGGGAAGGCCGGGGCTTTATCAGTGTTTTGAGAAATGCGGCCCCTCCTCCAGCGGAATCCTCGTGGTTTCTAAGGGGCCACACTGCCTTGTCACCAAGTCCCAAGTAGCTGAGACTGACTATAGCTTCTCAAGACTCCAGTCCCTTCGCTTTGGGCCACAGGGAAATATGTGTCACTGAGAAGTCGTTTTCAATAGTCCAAAGTTGGCCAGCAATTGGGTATACACCCAAAAGAACTGAAATCAAGGTCTCAAAGAGATATTCGTATGCCCATTTTTATGGCACTTGACTATTTTTGTGGTTAAAAGAATCATAGGTATGTGCGTGCAGTGGAATATTATGGTTACCAGAGGCAGGGCTGGGGTGGGAAGGGCAGGGGGAGGCCCCGGAGAGCGAGGGAGCTGTTTAATAGGTTCAGAGTTTCAGTTTTGCAACAGAAAAAATGTTCCCGAGATCGGCTGCACAACAACGGGAATGTGCTTCAACCACTGAACTGAACTCTGAAAAATTAAGACGGTACATTTTATGCAACCACATGCATTTTGCCACAATCAAAAATTAAAAGAAAATATCAGAGATTTTGCAGGTCCACAATCTCTTCTCCATAATACGTAATTCAATAAGCCTTGAAAACCAGACATTGTGCTGACAGCCTGTTGCCCCAGAGTCCGGGGGGAGGGGGTACGGGGGGTGCTACAGCGTTAAGTCGTGTCTGCATCAGGTTCATCTTCTCAAAAATCAGGAAAACTCTGAAACACAGCCGGCCTCCAGAAGTTTCCAAGACAGGACTGCTCTCCTGTGTTCAGATCACCTCCACTTTCCCCCTTTGGAGGAGACCGAGCCATTCCCTAACTAACGACACAGGCATCTTACTGTGGCTCTGGGGCTCTGCTAGCTGGCCCCTGCTTTGGAAACAAAATGCCTGAATTAGGCCAGGGCAAGTGGGAAAATGAAACAAAGAGCAGGCTTCCCTCATGGCTGCTGCGAGACACACGCTGCCCACCACCCACCCCCTCACCCTAGGAAAGCCAGGGTCTGAGCTGGTGCACAGCGATGGTTTAGGACGACTTACCAGATCACACCTGGGCACGCTGGACACAAACTGGGCGCCCTGGCAGCCGAGGATAAATCCAGCCAGATTTAAGAGGACACACACCACGGAGAGCAGCACAAAGAGATTCACCTGAAGTGGCAGGAAAAGAGGCCGTTAGAAAAGACAGTAGCTAAATTCAGAGTTTTATCTGAGTAAAAATAAATAAATAAAATTCATATTCTCTTCCTAGAGGACACACATTTTTCTTTTTTAAGTCAGAACCATATTATTCATGTACCAACATTTTGCTCATGTTGTAAAACTTTAAAACTGTGTTGAGGAGGACTACTGACTCTCAAGTCTTGTCAATAATTTCAAGTCCCTCATTTTTTTGCCTCTCTCTGCATCTAAGGAAGTTCTGACTCCCTAGATCTGATCTATTCATTGCATTAAAGCCATGGCCAATTCCTCCTTGAGCCCTTGTTATTTTTTTCTGAGTTTTGCAGGATGAATTGGTAAGTAGATAAATGGAGAATTCTAGCATGTTCTACTAGAACCCAGGAAAGTCGGAGCACTCAGAGCCCTTACTGGCCAGAAGTAAAAACAAAAGTAAGTCTTTTCTCAGTTCCAAACAGTGTAGGTACTAAAAAAATAAGTCTACAGTGATCTTCTATGTACTTTTCTCCAAAGCTAAATGTTCCATATGTTATGCTAAATAATTCAGAATTGACAGCAATCAACCAAGAGGCCAGATTTTACTTAGTGCCAATTACAGACTGCTATAGCTTTTCAACTTGAGGACTATATTTATGATCGAAATCAAATCTCATCACAAATAGAAAGGATTGGAGCTAATGATGATCAGCGTTGGCACCCAGCATCAGTCCGGGTAGCAAATGCCAGAGTTGGCTGGGAAGTGAGTTCTCACGTGAACTCTAGTTCGGAAAGCCTGTTGTGTGTTGTGGTATTCCAAGAAGCTTGAAAGCATCTCCCCTAAACCATGTTATGAGTCAATATTTAATATCACATGATGTTTTTTTCCTAAGAGGAATTCTTTCTGCCTCTCCAGGAGTAGTCTGACCTCTGCTCCTCTCCTTGTTTTGTTGATCTCTAAAAGGGCTATGCGTGCTGTCATCAAATCTTGGGGGAACTGCAGGCCGCAGCTGCTGTGTTACTATTTCTCATGATTTGTCAGTGCCTGTGGGGCTTAACTGGGTCAGGAGCAAGTATAGCCACCCCCCTCCCCCGGGGCACAATGTCAGTCATTGTCATGCCAAAGCTTTGGAAAATGAGGAGGCCCAGTTGGCCAAGGACAGAACATGATCTTCTCACCTGGGCTTCTCCTATGCACCTGCAGCAGCTACTCAAAGACACCTAATACATCTGGAATCTTCACACCCAGTAACAGTTATTGTTACTATGGGGAAGTCTAACTTTCCTTTGAAAATTATCTTTTCATGCAACATCAGATGCCTTGAAAAGAAGGCGTGGTTATAATCCTTAAGCCCACCAGCACATCACAAATCTTCATAACTATGGGGCACCTGGTGGCTCAGTCAATTGAGCGCAACTCTTGGTTTCAGCTCAGGTCATGATCTCAGGGTCTTGAGATCAAGCCCCATATGCGGCTCTGTGCCCAGCTCAGAGTCTGCTTGTCCCTCTCCTTCTGCCCTTCCCCCATGTGCTCGCTCACTCTCTCTCTCTCAAATAATCTTTTATAAATAAATAAATTAAAGTCTTCATAACTAGTGATTAGCAGCATCAGATATAGAAAGAGTGAGGGTTCATTACTTCCAGCACAGGTCCCCAAATCTCTTTATTAAAATCTTCAATCCACGGGGCGCCCGGGTGGCTCAGTGGGTTAAGCCTCTGCCTTCAGCTCAGGTCATGATCCCAGGGTCCTGGGATCGAGCCCCGAATCGGGGTCTCTGCTCAGCAGGGAGCCTACTTCCCCTTCCTCCTCTGCCTGCCTCTCTGCCAACTTGTGATCTCTCTCTGTCAAATAAATAAAATCTTTAAAAAAAAAAAAGTTTAAAAAATAAATAAATAAAATAAAATCTTCAATCCAGCTCATCAAATGACATTGTTAAGAAAACCAGTAGGCAAGCCACAGACTGGGTGAAAACATTTCATGCATGTATTAAACAAAGAACCTTTATCCAGGATAACTCCTCAATTCAATAATAATAAAAAACAGACAACACAAAATCGGGCAAAAGACTTGGACAGATATTTCACAAAGGAAGACATAGGAATGGTCGATAAGCCCACAAAAAGCTACTCAAAATCATTAGTCATCACGAATGCAAATTAAAACCACAGTGAGATACCACTTCACATCAACTAGAATGGTTAAACTTAGAAAGAATGACAACAGCAAGTGTTGGCGAGGACGAGGAGCACACGGACTCTCCCGCGTTGCTTGAGTATAAAATGGTGCTGCCCCTTCTTAAAAACTAAATGTAAATTTCCTTGCCAAAGAATTCCAAATACTGTTGACCCTTGTACAATGCAGGGCTCAGGGGTGCTAACCCTGAACCCCGGCATGCAGTACAAAATCAGAATATGACTTCCGAATGTCCATAAACTTAACTATTAATAGCCTACTATTGACCAGAAGCCTTGCCAATAACAGAGTCAGTTAACACATATATTGCTTGTTATATGTGTTATATACTACATTCTTACAAGAAAGGAAGCTCGAGAAAAGAATATGTTATTAAGACAATCATAAGGGAGAGAAAATATTTACAATTCTGTACTATATTAGAAACAAAATCTGGGGGTGCCTGAGTGGCTCAGTTGGTTGAGCGTCTGCCTTTGGCCTGGGTCATGATCCCAGGGTCCTAGGATGGAGCCCTGCATCGGGCTCCCTGATGAGTGGGGAGTCTACTTTTCCTTCTCCCTCTGTGTGCTCTTTCTCTCTCAAATAAATCTAAAAAAGAAAAAGAAAAAAGAAAGAATCTGCATGTAAGTGGACCCATGCAGTTCAAACCTCTGTTGTTCCAAGGTCAACTGTGGTTTATGGAAATAGTCCATCCTCGACTCCCTACTCCCTAACTATGGGTTGTACCAGGTGAGTTCCTTCCAAAGAATATACATGGAAGGGAGAGAGGGAGCAATCTTCTAGTGGAGAAACCTGAGAAGCCAGGGGACCAAGGTTAATATCACTGATAAGTCACGTGGACGGCATGCACCCTTGACATGATGTGATGAAAATGGCATTTTACCTCCGTGTTCTTGCTCTGCCAAACTGATGATAACCTCAGTCTAATCATAAGAGAAACATCAGATAATTCCAATTGAGGTCCATGCTACAAAATACCTGACAAGTACTCTGAGAAATGGTCAAGTTCATCAAAAACAAGAGAAATCTGAGAAACTGTCACAGCCAAACTGAGCCTAAGGAGACATGACAAGCAAACATAATGTGGCCTCCTAGGCTGGGATAAGGGACAGAAAAAGAACATTAGATACAAATAAGAAAATCTGAAGAGTACGGATTTTAGTTGATAATAATGTATCAATATTGGTTTGTTAGTTGAGACAAATGTACTATACTATAAAGTAAGGTGTCAATGATGTGGAAACTGAGTATGGCATATACATGACCTCTATTATCTTTAAAATATTTCTGTAACTCTAAAACTGTTTTAGAGTAAAACGTGTAATTTTAAAACTGCAAAAAAAAAAAAATCTGAATATACACCTTCCTTTTGACCTGCTCTTCCTCTCCTAGGAACAGACCCAAAGAAATGACTGCAGTTACCCACAAAAAGACTTACAGAAGAATGTTTACAGCAGCTTTGTGCATATTAGACCAAAAGTGAAAATAACTCAAAATATCCAAGAGCAGGAGAAAAAGTAAACATATTGTGGTATTTCCAAATAATGGAATACTTCCAGCAATAAAGGGAACACACTACTGATGTACAACAACACATAGAAGCTCAAACACGTTGAGTGAAGTAAGCCAGATATTATATGATTCCACCTACATGATGTTCAAGAAAAGACAAAATAATCGTGGTGATAGAAATCAGAAGACTGGTCCCTATTTGGTGGGGGGCAGGGATTGACTAGGAAGAAAGAGGAGAATTGTCTGAAATGATAGAAATGTTCCATACATTGTTTGGGATGTTGTCTACATTGGTGTATCCAACTCTCAAAACTTAGCTAATTTTAGAACACTTTTGATTAGGGATTTATATAAATTATATTTAGTATATTTTTTAAAAAGATTTTATTTATTTCACAGAGAGAGATCACAAGTAGGCAGAGAGGCAGGCAGAGAGAGAGAGGGAAGCAGGCTCCCCACTGAGCAGAGAGCCCGATGCGGGGCTCGATCCCAGGACCCCAAGATCATGACCCGAGCCAAAGGCAGAGGCTTAACCCACTGAGCCACCCAGGTGCCCAATTATATTTAGTATATTAAAAAGAAAGTAAGATGGGCGCCTGGGTGGCTCAGTTGGTTGGGCGACTGCCTTCGGCTCAGGTCATGATCCCGGAGCCCCGGGATCGGGTCCTGCATTGGACTCCCATCTCCACGGGGAGTCTGCTTCTCCCTCTGACCTTCTCCCCCTCATGCTCTCTCTCACTCTCTCTCTCTCGAATAAATAAATAAAATATTTTTTAAAAAGAAAAGAAAAAAGAATGTAAGAAAGACAATTCTGAATCCATCTGCCAGGACAGGAGTGTGAGATCATACAATGAATGGGGCTACTTCGTGAACGTCGGAATAACAAATGAGCTGAGAGAATGTTCCAGAGGTTCACTGCCTGGTAGACCTAGCTCCTCTCCTGCACTGGATGGGTTGCCAACAAGAAGTCAGAGTCAGATCACCAGAACACCAGCCCCAGAATGAGGATACAGCCAAGGCACATAGGCTGTGTACAAAATCACTGTGCCCTTTTCCCCAAACTTATTCCTTCCTGTGGCTTTTTTATTACTATCATTAAAACTCTGGCCGAGCTTATTGGCTATTTGGTCATTCGAATTAGTCTAGTGCAGACAACGGCAGCATGTATCAGACATGGGAGCTAGTAGGATACCAAGCTTGTCTCCTTCAGAGGCTGGATCAGGTTCAAGGGTGTATAATAGAGGAGCTACAAGGGACCCATCTGGGATTTACAGGGACTTTCAGGATAGAC